TTTTTTTTTTTTTTTTTTTTTTTTTTAGCTAACCTACCTACCTACCTACCTACTTGCAGCTTAGCAATCCACTACAGGTTTTTTTTTGTGTCCAAGGTACGAAATCTCTCCTAAGTTAAGAAGACACAGCTAAACTCTGCTCTGTGTGGGGAGTAGTACCCAAGCTTCTAACACCAGGCGCGAGCTGGAATGCGCAAATGGTCGCTTCCCAGCCAGCCAGGAGGCCCAAGCCAATTATCTCCGCTGGAGAACCCGAAGCGCATCACAGGAGACCATGGGGATACAATGGATGACGTGGGGCATCGAACCCACGACCTCCTTCAAACCACTTCCGTGCTGTTCTAAATTTGGCTGAGTCAGAGCACCAAGTGGAGAGGAATAATCTTGTTGGTTCAGAAGGAATCATATTGGTTCTTACAGGATGGAATTGAGTACTAATTAGTAATTAGATACCGAGCAACTACTGATGAGTTGATTGGAGTACTAATTAGTACTTAGATAGCTAGCAACTACTGATTAGTTGATTGGAGTACTAATTAGTAACTAGATAGCTAGCAGCAACTACTGATTAGTTGATTGGAACATTTATGTATGCATTCTTGATTGGATTGCCATCTATTTTCCGCGCACTTTCACAGTTTGCGATTGTTTCTGTTCTCGCTTGAGCCTTGGGGTCAATTATTTCCAGCCTATCACAGAGGGCATTGCCTTAGGTCTTTTCCTTTTTTCTCGTATGAAAGGGGAAAGCTTACCGTTATAGCATCCATCATGTCTGAAGTCCGAACTCATTACCTGTTTATCAGTAGTCACGTGTGTGGAGTACCGTGTATTATTTAGCCACTCAGCATGTGTTGGCGTCACCTTAGGTCATCTTTCACATCACCTAGGTGGAAAGACTTTGCTGAAGCTGGAAAATCTCACGTAAATCGTGATAATCATCTGAGATGGAGTTCAGTTCTCAAGGGTCTGAGCACTTGTGCGTAATGCTGTTTGTGACCATTCCAAACTCGTTTCCGTCCCTCTCTCTTCTCCCCTCTCCCCTCCTCCCCTCCCCGTTCCTCCCTTCTCTCCTCTTGCCTCCCTCCC